CTTCCCCCCCCCCCCTCCCAGACTGGCAGATAGCTACTCTTGCTTTGCTGTTGGGTGGTGCTGCCATCATTCTCATAGCTTTCCTGGTTGGGTTGATCTCTATCTGCGTGGGATCTCGGAGGCGGTTCTACAGACCAGTTGCAGTCATGCTCTTTGCTGCAGGTAAGCAGATTACTGGCACCATTATGAAAATTTCATGAGAGCAGCTTCACTTTTGTGAAGGAAGACGTGCCTTGTTCTGCATACTAATTCAGAGGCATTTGGTTTACTTCTGTGTTAACTCCGGGGAGGTTTTTCCGGATACTGGTTCTGCACAGCATTAATCATTTTTGCGGCTGTACATATTGGTTCATAAACAATTATTTATTTGCATTATATTTATTGTTTTGTGACATAAATGCAGCAGGGGCAACTACAGATGATAAATCTCAAAGTGCTATTTTTAGTCTGTGACTTGGTGCTGTTTGATGTCCCCATTTTTATTCTTCATACAAAGCAATTTCTGTTACTTTAATGTTCTTGCTTTTACAATTTTAAAACAGGATAATTGATGCTCAAATGTGAACCCTTGAAGCCCTACATGTGAAAATAAATAGGATTATATTGCAAGGTGTTTATGTATGCCTCTGTGCCATGAGGAATTCATTTTATTGTGTCAGCTTGCTTACTTAGTTATTAATTTAACAAGCTGTCACCGTGCAGTCCCTGTTTGGTTTTAAAAACGTGGAAATGGAACAGTTTATATAGACTATCACAAAATCTTAAGGGAGACCTATGAATCTGAATTGTCCATAAGACTGGTCCAGTGAGGTATAATTACAATATCAAATCGTCTCCTTTTGTACATTCTGGTGTTTTGGGTTTTAGTCAGGACGGATGTTTCTGTTTCTCCTGAGACTCCCCAAGCAGGGTTTGCCTTCATCCTGTCACTCATATCTGCATTGGAACCAGCAGCTTAAGCCCCTTCAGATAGCCTGTAATGAAGAGGATGACAGAACCTAGTCTTCGGGATGTATTGAAAGAAGTCACTGACAAGGAAGGATATGAAAAGATAAAGCTGCAGAATTTGCAGGGTGTTGGGGAATGAAACAAAGCTCCGGGGAAGGCTCCTGCTGCCCCCTGCTGTTAACGATACCTTGATTGAGCATCAGCACTTTTGTTTGCTCAAGAAATGTTGGTAGGTTATATTTCATTTGCTTTTATGAAGCGAATGCAACCTAGCATCAGATTTCCTGGGTAGAAATTGTATCTTTTTGTTCTGTGTATCACATTCCTTGCTTGCTTGAATGAATAAAGGCACTGGTGACATTGCATTAAAATTTAGTGTTAATTCTGATATTATAAACCATGCTGGGCAGTTAACTTTGGAAATGGGATTAATGAATTTCTGTAGCAGTTTATTATTTGGATTTTGACTTATTTCTTGTAACATTGTGTGCTAACTTAGTAATTGTTCAGCCATACGCTGCCTATCTTGCCATATTGCTTATTCGGTATATAGTTAAGTTTGTACTAAAAAAATAGAAAGCAAAAAAATATCCTTAAATCCAGCTGTTTGGCTTAATGCTTAATCTATTTTCCTCTGCATAAAAGTAATTCTAGTCTTTACTATAAATTTAGGGTGGAAAGGAGGTTTAAAGCTTACTTGTATAAAAAAGGGAAAATACCTCGGTGCTTTAGCTCCTGAGCAGCGTTCAGCTCTTTCTTTTGCCACTGTGTGTGCATGCACATGTATTTTAAATAGCCGTGACCTGAAGCATACGAGAAGAAGAGAGATGATGAGGCCAAGACAGTATGCCCCATTCTTCTTCATTATCTGGCAAATCTGAGGAGAAGCCTTTTGAGACTTGATGCTGGCATTGTTAGTGTCATTTCCTACAGATATTATCTCTGATGTCAGCTATTTTTAGAGGTGAATATGGACTGGCATATCTTCAAAGAATTATGGAAAATGTCCTCTGCTGAAGAGGGAAAAGTTAAGACTGCAGCACAGTGTAGTTTGTGCCTTAGGTGACTGTTCATGGATTCAAACCTTCAGCTGTGGATTTCACAAGTTCTTTGAGGACAAAACCTGCTCTAGCCCATGAATCTGCTGACAAGACCAAATATTCTGTATGGCTCTGGTTAGGAGTCCACCAGCTGCCTCTGGAAAAAAGACACAGGATGAATTGCCCAGAGACATTGAATGATCTGTGTGTCAGGTAGCAAACATCACTATGTGGGCAAAAGAAAAAAATGGAAAAGTCATTTCCAGGCACTCTAGAGTCATAACAGTGGACTCCAGGTTCTTTATTTCCTTCTAGTTTGGATATTATTTTTTTAAATTTTTCTTTATTTTCTCAGCTTCAGGTTTCAGTTAGCAACTCTGTGGGTGAGGAAGAAGATTGACTAGGACTGGAAGACATGAAAAAGCAAAGGGACAAAAAACTAACTCAACCTAGATACTGAGAATAAGCCAGCAAGTGATCAACAGATGTGAATGTGTTTAAAATACATACTGGCAGCTCTGTAGTGGGGAGAGGAACGGGAATACCTCAGGTAATGGCAAAATGTGGAGCAGTTGCAGCGCACTCTTGCATGGAGCTACCTTGGCTCAAACAGCTTTTCTCAGCATTTTTGGACTAGTAGAGGTCACTAACTTACATATTTGCTGGGGTGTCTTAGTGCTCATGAACCAAACTGGCCCTGAAAGCTGCATCCACAAGCTCACAAACTTGTCAGTGTAGTGGTCTCATGATATGGTTACCAGATAACTGACTGCGAGCGAAGTCTTAATTTAGGAGTAAAGAGAGGAAGTATAATTGTTGAAAACCAAAAAAATAATATAAAAGAAGTTTGCCTTCTGGAGCTATGTTTAACAACGTTTAGAAGAATATCCTGTTGAGGTTAGTAAGCTTTTAACACATTCCAGGGGATGCTTTTACATGTAAACTAGGCAAACAGTGGCTAAGTGCAAGGACTATAGGTGAGAGTGTAAAAAAAATGACAGCAGATAATATTTGGAGAATACTTAGAGATTTACCTTTCTGTTCTGACAGAGTCAAAATGCAGTTTGGCTGGATTGCATGCTGAGTTCTGTGCTATTACCTATTTCCATAATGATATTATTCTACCTTCTGTGGAAGGTATAATAATAGTGTACTTGCCAAATTTTACAGTAAAGCTAGAAAAAAAAATTGGAGGACAGAATTTGATTTTGAGAAATTGATAGAATGGTCTGAAAAAGTAGGACTGACATCAGTAGGATGTAGTGCAGCAAAAAGAGTAATAGCATCAAAGGTATATTGATGGGAAAAATACTCTTTAGGTCATGTAGTCCAGGCTTCTTGTTGAGGGAGGAAAACACTACGTCAATCAGCTGTAGCTTTGACTGGACCAGTCTTTAGAACTCCAGGTATGAAGATTCCACAGCCTCCCTAGGTAACCTAGGTCCTGGTGCCATACTACCCTCCTTATGATATTTGTTTCTTTCCTGATGTCTGCCCTGAACTTCTGAAACTGAGATTTGTGTCCATTGCCATTATCTGAAGTTGCCTGGCACTAGAAAGAGGAGGGTTGGTTTTTTTTTTTCCTATCATTATTGCAGCTACATTTTCAGGTAGCTAGGCTGGTTTGAAATTGCTCCTTAGCTTCCTTTTCATGTGTCTAAAGGAACCTAGCTCCTGCATCCTCTTCTTAAGGATGATTTGCTCCAGGATTCTGAATATCTTGGCAGTTCTTTGGATCCTTGTCCTTAGTTGGTGAATCCATGTTCACTGCTGATTGCCACTTTGTTCTGCATATGCTTGCAGTTGGAATCCTAAAAGTATGTACTCCATAATGTTTTCAGGGATTGAGTTGAGGCTGATCTATTCTGTGGATTTCTCACTTCTAGCCTTTTTAACAATGGACACAACGTTAACCTTTTTCCAGTCATCTGAATATCTCCTGATCACTGTGATTTATTTTTTTTGTAGTTGATAGCGCAAGATCACATCGGCCATCTCTGTCATCGCCTTTGGGTCACTTAGAGGTTTTGGAGAAAGTGTCACAGTGTATCATCTGTCACTCATACTGGCTTTCCTGTCCATCATTGTATAAATATGTTTTCTGAACTTCGTTTTGCAACTAATGCACCTGTGGAAACCTTTCTTTATTACCCCTTTTGCCATTGCCCAGCTTAATGTTGGGCTCCAGCTGGGCTTGAAATTTCCTGATTTTGTATCGAAGTATCAAAACAGTGCTTTTATACTCCCCTCTTATTGTCTGTCCTTGTTTTCTGCTCTTGTGTACCCCTTTCTTGCACATTCATGGAGAAACTCCCTGTTTGACCAACAGGGCCACCTCCTGAAATTCCTGGCCTTCCTGTGTAGGAGGGTGGTCTGTTCTTGAGCTAGCAATATTTTCAAAATCAGCACAGACCCCCTTTCTCTTCATGCTGCTTCCCTTCCCAATTAATTGCACAGGTTGTATTAAGTACAAACAACCTCGTAGTTAGCAGTTGCGTGTGTTAATCTTTGCAACTGCAACACCCGTTGGTTATTGTTGGTTGTTAATGGAGTGCTTTGCTTGTGTGAATGAGCAGGAGGAACAGTGTAGAGAGCAGAAATACAGAACTTACTAGCCAGTACCAACATTTTAATAAATATAGGCCAATTATAAAGCCACACTATAAGTTTTACTGGACAGCAAAACTGTTGTAATCAAACATTTGAACAAGGAAAAAACCCCTGTATTTTCCTAGTTTTAAAGTGTTTGTTGTGATTTTTACATGCTTAATATGATAAGTACATTGCATATATTTCATGTAAATGGAACAAAACTATTACTTGTGTTCCTGTGCAATTGTCTTGCAAGCATCGTAGTGCTAGTCATAAAAATGGGTCTAAACTTGAAGTGAATAGTCTAGTTTGACTAGTCTTTTTTGAGTAGCATTTTGAAGTGGAATTTATTTTTTTTTAAGATTTCTTTTTCAGCCTTTTTTTCTTCAGAAAAGGTCTGGCACTTCCAAGAAAAAAAAAATACATACGCTTCCCATAAACAGGTCAAAATAGCGTGAAGTTCCTTTAAATTCATTGGAAGCAGATCAGTAGTTGCGAGCACTGGTTTTAACACCTTTTTTGGATCGTAGTGGTAATTTTTCAAAACTTACACTGACTCTTCTTTCTAGCCTACACAGGTTCCTTCCCACTTTACAGGGAGCAGCAAAAATAACAGGAGGCAAAAAAAGTGCAAAGTGGTGGTAGCGTTGTGCAGTGGGGTTGTTTCCACTGACCAGTTGCTGCCAGCACTTTCTTTGAGTTTTTCAGTCGTGTAGCTGGATCAGTAGTAGCCAAGCAGGAAGTCGTACCACAGAAATGTTTAAAAAACCTGTTGTGGGTGTTGCTTCTTTAGTCACATGTTCCCCTTCCAACAGAAACACTTTGTTTTGTTTTGACAAGTCTAATCTGTGGATTAAAATTCAGCATACTTCATATGTTAGATTGAGGGAGGGTGGAGAGCTTCCTTGGTTGGCACTTGACACGCACACAACAGAGCAATTCCTGTGTTGACTCAGCAGAGATGCTGCAGCCCCAGTTTGGGAAGCCACTGAAGAACTTGCTTATATCCGTTCATCTCAAGAAATCCTTTTTGACTTTGAATGGTCTTAAAGATGTGTCTGAAAGCTGAGCGTGTGTTCAGGTATTTTTGAGTGTAATGATGCTCTCATTATACAGAATTGGAATGCATAATCTTTTCATAAGTCAGGCGATTCCCCTAGTGTACCCTGTCAAAATTTCTCCAGTGTTGCGCAGTATTTTGTGAGCTGGCATGCAAAAAATTATATTAAAATGGAATAACACAAAGTAACACTTCAATAACTTTAGGATTAAAAAAATCCTGTGGATTTTAGTATCCACATCAGAAAATCCGCTATGCAAACATTATTCAGATTGTCAGTCTCAAGTCAGAGTGCAAAGACTAGTCTATAGGCTACATGGACGGGGAAGGGGGAGAGAAATTTCTGATTAATGTCTTGTAAAGTGTTATCACCAAGGATGTGTAATGAACATTGGAAATCATTTCCCCGTACCAGTCCCCATCCGGAGGACAGAAGAGCATTACTCTTCAGAGTTAATGAAAGGTGCCAGTTTGGCAACAGTAAAGAGTGTGTGTGGGACCGAAAAGGCAAATGATAGATTTTCAATGTGCAAAGTGTTCAAGTGGTAGAAGAATATAATGAATGTTATCTTATTTTCTTGTAATTCCTTCGTGAAATTTCAGAAGGGCTTCTGTAGTCCAAACTAGTCTTCGTTTCTATTATCCACTGGCATTTTATATTGGCACTGGTTTTATAGTAATTCTCTAAATAGCATTTGTTCATCTTACAATACCTGATAAAGTGTAAAAAATGACCCAGTCGATGTTAAAGAACGTAGTTATTATGGTATTACATTGCATACCATTGAACTTTCATCAGCGTATGTCTCAAGTCTGCAAATACTTAAGCATGTGCTGAACTTTGTGGATGTGCCCACCATGACTGTAATCCGGGGCTGGGGGTAGGTTACAAAGACAGCCATGTGCTGAAATCTTTAAAAATCTCTGGTGTAAAATGCTGAAAGGGAGCATTGTGATAAGGCCATATCATATAATTGAGGGGCAAAAAAAGGACGTCTTGTACATTCCTGTGATGTTTTCTCATTTGTGGGTGGCAGAACTAGAGGTCTGAAGAATCACTACATCATACAGCTTGTCCGCATCTTCAAACCAAGTGTAATTTTCACCTGCTTACCTTGGAAACTGTTGTCCCAATTTTCTGTTAATAGTGCACCTGAATTTACAAGAGAATAGATGCCAAGGCAACTGAAATCTTCTTGTGAAAATTGGGTCCTTCATCTGTGTATTTTCCTTTTCAGGTTACTGTATGGGGGTTTTTTTGATGTAGCACAATAATTAACAGGTTTGCTGAATTCCACTGCAGACATGTGGATCAGGCTGCAGGAGATCTGGCTCTCTCAGAGACAGTGCTGTAGAAAGTAACGATTTTTAAGCTTTTTACTGCCTTGGATTTGATCTTTTTTATTAGCTTTTTTTTCATCATGAAGCATTTCTGACCCACCCCCTAAATTCATAGTACAAGGCAATGTTTTGCCAGCTGGAAGTTTAGTGACTGATCAAACTTTATAGATTCCTTGGTATTCTGTGTAACAATATCATTAATTCTGATTACAGTACACAGTAATGCATATGAAGTATGTAATTCAGTGAGTGTCTACTGAACATAAATATGTATCACCTACTACAATGAATTATTTCTAGGCTATTAAATGATTTCACTCTGAGCTATATTTCTTAATATTCGTTTATTCTTGCTTCTCATTTTGACTTATTTATAATAGCTATAGAACAAGTGATCTTAGTTTTGTTGTTATGGAAGGAATAAAGACTGCAAACTAAAATACAAAGGAGAGACAAAAGAATTTGGAAAAGGTTGTTTTCATTGTTTATTTCATGGACACCTGAAAGATCGTCATTATACTGTAGCAATAATATTTGTTCATCAACAAGGGAATATGGAAGAACTGCTCTGATCTGTTGATGAAATGAAGGTGATTTTTTTTTTTTTTTCAAAAAGAGCAGTACTTACAAGCTATAAATGCCTCAAGACCATTTTAAATGTGAATTTCAGTTATGTGGTGTTTTCCTTGTTTTATGGAAATTAATTAAAGCTGCTTCTAATATTTGTTTGGTTTTTTTTTCTTTTTCAGTTGTTCTTCAGGTGTGCAGCTTAGTCCTTTACCCAATCAAGTTCATCGAAACGGTCAGCTTGAAAATATACCATGAGTTCAACTGGGGCTATGGCCTGGCTTGGGGTGCAACTATATTTTCATTTGGGGGTGCCATTCTTTATTGCCTGAACCCTAAGAACTATGAAGACTATTACTAGGATCATTTAATGGAAAGCAAAGTAACAAAAGGATTACCCCATCTTTTCTAACTCACAGTTTTTTTAGAACACTTGTGGAGCACCAAACAGTCTGCTCTGTTGATAAAATAGCCTTTGCCTTTTGGGTGTGAACACTGTAACCAGCTTTTCCAACCATTTAAAAGAACTGCAAACACCAGGATTGCTGATCTTACATAGGCAGATGCTGCAAGCTGCTGATACATAAGCTTCATTTTTCCTGACAACGAGCAAAAGGATCTACGTGACAGCGATCATTGTGAGAAAACTAGTTGGAATGAGAATGCAACGCCAGCATCTGCTATTGCCTTCAGGGGAGCAGCTGGTAGAGGCTCCATTTAGAAGTTTCCCTGTATCATAGAGGATTCAGATGTCTGATAAGCAGGCAATGGCATCTTGTACAATAGGCTGTGTTGGCCCCTTGTTACTTGCTCAAAAAAGCTCTTAAGGAATTAGTTGCAAGTGACTGTGTTGAAGGCAGTGAATGTAACTGGTTAATGACTTGTCTAATATCTGTATTCAACAGTCTTCTGGGAGATTAATAATGAAAAAAATACAAACAAGCCACCAACCACACAGGATTTCATGAATTGGTAATTGACATCACTGTGCCAGCTGTAGCAGATTGTTGAAGGAAGTCCAAACCCGGAGACATGTGCTTCTGACTGTGTAGTTGGAAGTTGTCTCAGCTCTGAGTGTTTTGTTGGGAGGGTGGAGA